GTCTTCTGTGGTATTAAACTAAATACATTTGGCTGTTTGTCGGATAAAGCCAGAACTCTGCATGTGTGAGCCTGAGCTTGAATAAAGTCTGAATGACATATTTCACAATTTTTCGTATATTATGCAGACAAATAAATCGGATTCATTGAGAGAAGTGACGTCAGATTCATTGAGAAAGTGACAACATCATCCAGCATGCAGACTGTTCACTGTGTCACCATCTGGCAGGAGGTACAGGAGCAGGGCTGCACGCACCACCAGACTTAAGAACAGTTACTACCATCAAGTTCCTAAATTTGCGGTCAACTCATGACTAAGAACGCTCTGCACATCTGTTCCCCTGAAAACATCAAATAACACACACACACTCCATAAAGACAAACACAGTTTTATTTGCAAAGAGCGTCACAATGCACCATTGAATGTTTATATTCTTTTTTAAATTTTCATTTTGTATTGTATTGTATTTGACTTTACAGTTTTTATAGCTCTATCTACCTTGCTTTTTTTTTTAAATTTAACTATGGCACTGCTGAGCTGAACAGTTTCTTCTGGTCCAACAGCTTTCACTGACCCTGTGCTCACCGCATAATATAAATACAACGCTAACAAAACTAACAAGTTACACCACATCTCTCAGGTCATGGACCAAATGTTTCCAGTGAAACGAATGGTGTGTTGTGAACTTCAGTAGTTCAGTGTAACTTGACCTGGGCCCTGACAGTCATCCCAGTTCAGAGGAAATATGTGATGCAATCCAAGAAACCCCCCCCATAACAGCCCCCTCTGTCCATTTATCAATGAAGCAGAAAGTTCAGAGAAAATGACTGGGCTGGTTTTTGGAACTGAGGGTGGAGTGAGTGTTCAAGAGTTAAAGGGAAAGATAGGTGGTTCCATTCAAACAGGGTATGATTTAAAACATGAACAACTTTATGTTTCATTTGAACGACTCTCCTGAATGACCTTGTGTTAGATAAATCCTTGTGCAGAAGTTTATACTCACACATCGTAAACACCACGATGAGAGGACGCTTATAGTTAAACTCACTTCTGTGTGATTGTGTGTGTGATTGTGTGTGTGATTGTGTGTTTGATTGTGTGTTTGATTGTGTGTGTGTGTGTTTGACTACGTGCAGCGTCTCGCTCCGGTGTTTTATTGGCTCCCGCTGACGGAGCGCCGCCTCGAGGTGGAATTTCCCAGGTTACAGTACAGAGCAGCAGCACTTCCGCATTAGATGTGAGAGACCAGAGGCCACCGCCAGCAGAAAGGTACCCAGCCCAAAGACCCCTCTTTGTTCCGGGCTCCGCTCCGCTCTCGGGCCGTTTCACCGCGGCGCCACACGAAGCGTCTTTTCGCGGATAGGCGAGAGGAGCGAGGCGGCTCACGGTCCCGCACTGTCATCCAGCGTTAGCTAGCCCACAGCTAACGAGGATGTTGCTAGCGATTTGCATGACAACAGCGAAAACTAATATTAGCCCTCTCAAGCCAATCAAGGTAGCTATCATTAGCTGGATTGTGCTGTGTTTGACTCCGGCGTGTCGGCTAGGTGTCTGTTAGCATGGTTCACCTGACGTTTGACTTTCCTCTCCCCTGCTTTTGTGCCTTTTTCCTCCGCTCTCGGATGTGCTGTTGTCATATGTTAGCTTTGACACACGTTAGCACAGTGCTGCCATATGTTTCTCTCTGGCAGGGCTGGTATGTTTCCGCTTTTGTCCTCGCACAGCTGCATATGTTTGTTTTGTTTCGATTGATTTCATGTGGTTTTTTTCTCTCCGGTTAGCTTCATCGCTAGTTTAGCAGTTGGATGTTGTAAGCTGAGACAAAGTGGGTGTAGCACCTACAATGGGACGTCTCATATCATTAACACCCTCTGCCATGTTTCTGAGTGGCTGCACTGTTCCTAGGTTGTCAGCTATGGTTTGGAGGGATTTCTAGTGTGGGATCATGAGAATGAAGAGTGTGCAAGTTATTACTGTTCAGGCGGAGCTTCTGTTCAGCTGTCTCTGTATGAATACTTGCATTTTCATATTTGATCGTCCTACTTTCGTATTGACTATGAGGAGGTATGTTTTTAAACTAGGATTCAATTGTGATTGTTTGCAGTGGAAAAGATCTTGTTTCTGTTGCTTCGTCGCTCATCACCAAGTATTGTACACACAAGATTTCGGTCTTCTATGTTTAGAGACTTTACTATCAGCACTTTTTATTTTCTGCAAAGGTCAGCGTCTCATTTATTTGTGTTTGTCCTGCGTTTTAATCTTCTGTTTAGTACTTTCAGTTCAAAATAACTGTCTTTTTTCCCTCACAGTTCAGAGGACCATGTTTAGAAAGTGAGCAACAGCGATGGAAGGGAAAGGCCCGTACCGCATCTATGATCCAGGTGGGAGTGAGGTCAAGGCCAGAGAGGAGGCCGGAGGGGGAAGCAGCTATCGACAGCTACTGGAGGAAAACAGCATACTGAGGGAGCGGATGAAGGGACTTAAGAGCTTAGGTGGGTTCCCAAAAACATCAGTTACCCAAATGCTCTGGACATGGGGTTTATTTCCTGCTCTTCTTTGCACATCTGTTGTTTGTCTTAACTCCTGAGGATTGTATCTTTCCAAGATCTGACGGACACAGACATTGATTTCTTCATTATATTTTGTAAAAGAAAACTGTATTCAGTCTGCAATTGTGGCAGCGCTAAATTAAATATTGTTTGTTGTGCACAAGGACAACGTACAAAAAATCATCAACAATGTCGACAGATGACATAATGAGGTCCCAGTCAGAGTATACAAATGCGGAAGGGAGAGCGCTTGACAGTAAATGAATAGGAATCTAGTAAAACTGGATCTTGCTTGTTAGTGTGTTGAAAAACTTGCATGTCAATGATGTGACTTTTGACAAAGTGAAGTGTTGCTGGATAGAGACAATCTTTCTCTGAAACTTGCAGGTGATTTGCTGGAAGAGTCTCAGTCAGAGGCATCAAGGCTTCGGCAGCGAGTGGAGGAACTTGTGAGAGATAATGAAGCCTTGAAGTCCTCCAGCTTCGCTGCCAGTCTGTGTATGGGAGGGCCCGTCCAAACTGAGACACAAAGTAGGTTCCACAGACTTGATGGTAAAGATGTAATTTGCAAACATATTTTCACATGTGTGGATTATTAATCTGTACAGTATTGTATCCATGTTACAACACTGTTCTACTTTACTGTAACTTGGATTAAGGCTTTGACTTGTTGCAGGTAAACCCTGTTTACACGCCACTGCAGAGCAGAAGGAGGAGCAGACAAACTGTTTGGGGAAGACCTTGCAGCCTGAGAAGCCCAATGTAAGTAAATTGTTCCGTGTGAGAGCTTTTGTTTGAGGCAGAAACAACTGTAAATATTAGTATTTGACATTTGGCAGCTCTCAACTAAATGTTTACTTTATTCTTGCAAATGTATTGAATCAGTTACTGAGTAGACACTGCATGTACTAGGGGGCTACATATATATTTTCTGGTCTTTCCAGGAGGCCTTATCAGAGTTTGATGCAGTGAATATGGAGGGGAAGACTCCAGATGCCTTGACAGTACGTACATGACTTGTTGTGGCACAAAATAAGATAAATAATTTTCCAGACAACCACAGGAAGTCAAGTTTTTGTAGTTCCAAAGAATATTAGAACATCAGTGCTCCTGCTGCTAATTTAGAAGTAATTGTCAAATATATTTAGAATAAATTCAACTTTTCCTCTGTTTAAATGCGAACACATCCTTGGTGTGGTGATTCACCAACAAACTCAATACTGATAGCTCCAGCCTGAGTCAGCCGTGGGAAAGTCCGGGATTATTACTGAATGGAATCACACAGCTGATTCATTCACACGTCCTAAGGGATCTGTTGATAGGACACTAAACCAGGATATTTCAGGCTCACGTGTTGACAAAACTAATAGAACTAGTTTTTCATTTAATTTGGAGTTATATACTTGACACAGTTTTTATATATTGTGGTAACACTTTTACCATAACCACTGTTTTGAAGTAATAAGTTGTCTGAAGGTCAACTTTAAATCCAACAGGACAAACTGGTTTGACTTTTTAGATAAATCATCAGTTGCTTTTCATAGAGACAAAATTAGTCAGTTTTAAACTGGTTGAGGTGTAATTGTAAGATCGCTCTCAGCTAAAGAGGAAGGACAGACTGTTATCTGTGTGGTTTTCTCCAGGCCGGGTCAGTGACAGGAGTAATCCCCCCCCTGCCTCAGGACAACATCGAGCTAGCAAGCCAGCTAAAGAGACTAGGGAGCTCCTTCAGCATATTCGCAGAGGAGTCCAACCCAAACCAGCTGTTAGCTCACCTCGGCCGCATGGCTGTGGAGTTTCACCATCTCTCCTCAAAGGTCCAAAAGAATGAACAGAGGACCTCCCTCCTACAGGTATGTAACACAACGACTGCATGATTGAAGTAGAATAAATACCCAAGCAACCATCATGCCTAAGATTGAAGCTATTAGCATCTTATAATGGGAAAAATGCAACAATTATCATCATGACTTTGTGGCAGATTTTATTTATTTTATTTGCAGGCTGTGAAAAGAGGGAAAATGTTTTTCTTTACATTGCAATGACATTTGTAATAGTTTAGATTATTTTGTGGCAGATGTTATAACACAGCACTGTGTCTTTTACAGTAAGTCCACAATTGTTGGTATTTGTATGTACATGTACATGACATACACATGAAGAACTGCAACTACTGGGGCACAGCACGTCTTGATAATAGCCAGTTATTTATCTGGATTGGATGTGATAACAGAGACTTCCTTTTATTTTTAAACGTTGTAATTTAAACTATAAACTTATTTGTTTAGCGTGTTAAAGGCAGTTGACTCTGGCATATAGGAGATAAGTTGTTGTTATTGATCATATTACACAGAATGGTGTTAAATATGGTGATCGTTGTGCTTGTTTTAAAGACTCTCTGTGAGCAGCTCAGACAAGAAAACAATGACCTTCGAAAGAAAATGGAGGAGGACCATCATATCAGGAATCAAGACTTGGAACAGCTGAGGTGAAGTTTTACATCTCTATTAATTTGACTTGTTTGTGTTTTGCTTCTTCATTGTTAGTAAAATTTGTTTAAGGGGGTGACTCCAATGCTTTCTTTTGGCATCACACTGCCCAGTGGGAGTTTTAGGTTCTTCCCAAAGTTCATCCTGTCGCTGTCCCAACACTTCAGCAAGGTCTTGTGAGGGTCATTGGTCACATGTACTATCTTTTTCATTTTCTTGCCACTTCAGACAGGAGAACCAGAAACTTAAGGAGCTCGTCACAGGAGGAGCAGCAGCATCATCAGCCGCAGGAGTAGCAGCATCATCATCTGCTGTAACATCTGATACTGAAGCTCCAGAGGCCAAAGAGGAGCCGGTGAAGGAGGAATCTTCTGCTGTGCGACCTAAGATGGAGGCTGCCACACCACAGAAGGTAGTTAGAATTACACAGCAGATTAATTTAATTCTATAAACAAACATTTATTTCATGATGTAAATAAAACTGGACGTCTTACATTATTTATTTTGAACTGTACTTTTTTTCTTCTTGAAATACAGTCAGCAATGTTCTTTTGATGATTATTCCGTCACATGTATGTTTTGTGGTCCCCAGAGTGGAAAAGCCACAGAGAAAACCCCGACTAAACCTTGTGATGTTGAGGTATACGAAAAGAAGATCAAGCTTTTGGAGAAGCAGAGAAAGGATGTGAGTCTTTTTTTTTTTCTTGCTCTTAGTGCTCATCCTCTTTTGCCATAGGGGAAAGTCTCTGTATAGTTTCCTATAGGTTCAGTGTCATTTGTTTCGTTTTCTGGTGCCGCTGACAGGTACTGGAGGTGAACAAGCAGTGGGACATTCAGTGGAACTCCATGAAGTCACAGTTTGAGCAGAAGGTACAGTAATGACTTTACACCTTTTTATGAATGGTGTGGGAAGACCCAGATGTGTCCTTGACTGATATAGAGCTGTTGTAGGAGAGTGAATACCTTCTCTCCGAATTCCTTTGAAAAACATTTTTTTTATTGTGACAAAGATCACTATTAAAAGTGTAACACGTTTGTTCCATTTTGAAAAAACGCATCAGTTCAGGATGATCAACCAAGTATTCTTGTCTCCTTTTTATTTTAGTTACATTTTTAATTTCCTAGGTGCTTTTAGTCTTTCTTGTCCATAAAAATATCCTTGTTTAGGATAAATAATGTAGATGTCTTTGTTCACCTTGTGTCCTGTTAACTTATTTAATATTACTTAAGATAATTATGTCCCTACTATTACTACTGTTATCAATACAACTATGTTGACATTTCAATAAACTTAATTTATATGAAATAATCTTTCTTTAAAAATTAGGTCATAAAATATTGTAGGTCAACATTACTGAAAGCTATACAGATGAAAAATAAAAAAATTCTCGCCACCCAACTTTAAAATAATAGTTGTAGTATTTTGACATCAATGGAATATCCATTTTATATTTTTCTGCTGTTAGGGTTGAGAGCTTTTTGAAGTTATGTGAGGAATGGAAAAGATTTTGTAATTCGGAAATATTTGTAAGGAACACAGGACTGATGTAGTTGTGTACTAGTTGGCAATGAGGCAGCTGTGTGTATGTGCATGTTTGTGTGTGCATGTGTGTGCATGTTTTCTCTGTGCCTGTCCAGTGGAAAAGGTACAAACTTGCAATAACTTGCTATCTGAGCATACTTAACCACAAGGCCCGTCACACTTCAGGGCCAGAATTCCCCTCACCTCTTTGGTACCCGCTGACTTCCTGTTGTGGTGCAGTCGGAGGGCAGCAGAGACATAAATGTACACACACTCTCACACTCACATACTCACACACCTACGTCTGTGCACACCCACAATCATGAACAAGCCTACATTCACACTTTGTTGAGGCAGGGATACCGTGCAGGGTTTGAACCACAGAACACTAGATATATGCATTTGCGTCAGTAGCTATGTTCGTATTAACACAAAAACAAAACTGTGTGTTTGCAAAAACGTCCTTTGTTGCTGTGGCTTTCTTTATGATAACAAATTTTTTTGAGGATGCATCTTCACACATGCATCCGCTGATGTTTTTCTTTACCAGAGACTTGATATCACTGAATCACTTTTTTTGGTATGTGCTTACGAGAATTGCACCTTACACTTGTGATTTGTGGATTCTGTAAATGCTATCCTCAACTAAATACTTCTTCCTCAGATAACAGATCTCAGACAACGCCTGGCGGAGTCCCAGAAAACTGTGCTTGAGCTGGAGGCTGAGCGAGAGCAGAGGCAGCGCGACTATGACAAGAAGCTGTTGCTAGCCAAGTCCAAGATAGAAAATGTACAGGTGAGAAAACAAGGCCACAATAAGCTGAAACACAGAAGAAAAAACATGTTAGAGAATACTCATAGTGGCACAAAGCAAGATTCGCCCTTGGCTATACCAGGCCTCTCCCTACAGGTTGGATGCGTTATTCACTGTCGTAAATACTAGTTGTGGTCTGAGCATTCCCAAACACACGGCTGCGCAAAAGTGCATTTGTTGACAATCTGACGGAGAAGAAACCTCAGACACCAAAGAACCATGTCGATGGACAAGGTAGAGATTTTACACAAATACAACGGGCTTGTTTGGCTAACTTGCTAAACTTTTATTGAAAAGGATTTGCCTGGCTTCTGATGATAAACTAGCAAGTCGACAACTTAACTTTCACAGCCCAACGTCAAGCAAGCACAACAGTAAGACCTAGCAAACAAGCAAAAGTTACGACTTGTTCGATAACAACAGCAGGAGGTCACCATCTGTCATTCATCACTTGGCCTCTTTTTGCTCTCTCCAATGGCATCCATGGAGTAAAGAGCAAAGACAGACATGCCATTTTCCCTATTATATGTTTGTGTACCATCAAATGATGTAATTATGTTATTTTAAGGTGTAAAAAATATCGCTTTTAAGAAAGGTGTTTTCAATGTCCTGGGTGTTTCAGGGGGAAAAGGAGTGTCTCAACTCTGAGACCAATGAGCTGAAGCAGAAGATTCGCTACCTGCAGGATCAGCTGCTGCCCCTCAGCAAACAGAGAGAGTACCAGGAAAAGGAGATCCAACGTCTCAATAGGGTTAGTAAGGAAGAGATGGAAATAAGGACCCATCAGGAATGGAGACATTTCTTTAAACTTGTGTTTTTTTACATTTCATTACACATAATATTTCTTTCTGTCTGTCTTACGTCAGGCTTTAGAGGAGGCCTTAAACCTAAAATCCCCCTCGTCCTCTCAACAACCACCTGGCCAGGCTAACTTCGCAGATGCAGCCAATAACCTGAGGAAACAGGAACTGCTCACTCAAATAGCTGTACTAAAAGAGCAGGTTAGACGTGCAACAAGTCGTACATAGTTCTACTGGAACTGTATGTGCTTTTCCTCAATGATGCTGTTTTGTATTCCAGGTGAAGATCTTTGAAGAAGATTTCAGAAAAGAGAGGAGTGACAGAGAGCGAATGAATGAGGAAAAAGAAGATCTGAGGCGACAAGTTGAGAGACTGCAGGGTCAGATTACCAATTTGACCAATCAGGTATGATATTGGTATATGATGTTTACAGTATGAAGTGGCATAATCAGGAAAGGTTGAGTTGTTTTTGTCTCTTACAACGAATGACCTTTTAACTCTGTTCTTGAACTTCTTTGTTTGTTCAGCTCCATCAGGCACAGAATGAGTGTCAGAGAGAACGCACAGAGAGATGTAAACTGGAGAGACTGCAGATGCATCACAAACAGGTACTTGCTGTAGCTCAGGTCTGAGCCTGGTAACTGTGCAGACATAGTGAAATGGTGACTGAAGCTGTGCTGTCTGTGTGGATAGGTGCTATGTTTGGCTGTGCTTTCAGTCAGGGCCAATGCATTCAAAGAAAGTTGCCTCTGTAAGCCTTTGGGAAGCGTTTTGCAGAAGGATAGGTGTTGTGGTAAAAGTTGCACACTAGCACCCCCTTGTGGCAGTATGCAGTCACTTAGATGTTGACTGTATTTAGTTAAATACTAAATAAATATAATCCAGGACAAGAGCCTCACTCCAGCTAGCATGTTTTTCAGTGCATTCGGGATCAGCAGGTGGAACATTTACTCTGCCCAGAGGGAGGCAGCGGCAGTAGGGTTGAAGGTCACAAGGCCAATGCCGCTGAGCTCGCTGAGACTAGCAGCCGTGCACTGATTGGGGATCACGTGTGTACTTATGATCCCTCGTAGGGGCAGCAGCAGGAAAGACGTACCTCAGACCCCACGTCAGGCTCAGTGAACGGCCTGCTGAGCCCTCCCTACTGTGGTCCCTTTGTGCAGGTGGGACCGCAGGGCCTTGAGGGCTGGCCCATACACTTCCCTCCCCGGATTCCCAATGCAGCAGGCGCAGCAGCCGCAGCCGCAGCAGCACCGCCCCCTGTACGAGACTTCCAGCCTGTTACCCCGGTAAGGGTCCTCTAAGGCCCCTCTGTCTCTGTCTCTGGAGTGACTCTTGTTCACTGAGGAAACAAGGCTCTTTTTTTCTCTTACCCTACTCCCCTTATCTGTTCAGAGAGCGAGCAGATATAATTAGGTCATACTGCAGCTCACTCTAGTCACGTTTACGTTCAATACAATTGTTGGGTTATAGCAAAGTTAAGGGCTGCTGGTTAAAATGAATGAGGATACTGTGTAAGGTGATACTTTGTCCTTGGTCAGGGTTTTCCATGGCAGTCATCATTCCCACAGCCCCGAGGGGCCAGAGCAGTTGGAGAGAGTTCAAGACCACCACCAGAGAATGCAGGTATAGTAGAAAACACAAGCAGAATATTTAATGCTTTGTTTGTTGAAAAATCTAAATGAAACTCAGTTTCACTGCTCAAAGGTTAAGGCTGGTTAGATTGTATTTTGCCAAATGTCAAAAAAATTCCATTAGAACCAACAATGTAGTCATAGTTGTGATCCATCTCGCAATATTTTGATTTCACTAGAACGTATGTGACTCTCCAAAGCCCATTTGCTCATTATTAAGATGCACAAATATATAGTGAAAAGGCTAATACTGTATATTTCACACAATAGGTGGGCACTGTCCTTTTTAGCAAACATAACTCAAACTTTTAACAGCTTAGGATAAATACCTAAAAAAGATGTATTATGACATCAGAACAACGACTGCTGGACTGTGAGTCAAAATGATCTACATCTGCTGGGATTAAATAATCAAAAACAATAGCATCAATAAGCTGTTATTATTAGTGCTTCTCTGGATACTGGAGAAGTTAGGAAAGTACATTTCCTATTTATTGTTGCTACATGAAAGTTAAAGTGTCAGAAATTCACAGTTTTCTATCACTCGGAGCAGGTGAGGATTAAGTGATTTAGGGGCTTTAGCCAAACTACCAAAAAGGGTGCAATAGTGTTATGGTCACAACATGGCTCCTACATTTCCTGTAAAAATAGTTACTTTTGTTTATTTTCCATTTCAATAATTACGTAGTGTGTAATTGTAATGTTATTCAAGTAGCTAATATCAGTACTTCATCAGTAAGAGCAGTTGTACTCTTTTAATCTCATCAATTCAACTCGTAGTCACTCAGTAAGGGATTTGTTGCCACTAATAAAAGCACATAATATTGGCTATATACAGGCCATTTCTGCTGTATTTATTTTGAGCAGCAAAGTGTTTTTGACTGTAATGATAAAATTGTCTTTTTCCTTTATGCATCTGTAGATCAGTCAGCAGCAGCAGCAGCGGCAGCAGCATCCACAGCAGCAGCAGCAGCCGCAGCAGCAGCTGCAGGAGGAGGGGGATTTGGAAAAAGGGAGCGACAAAACATCGACCCTGGAAAGCACTAAAGCATCACCGTACCCACCTGATTGATCTGGGTAGTAGCATGAAATCAGTTTGTTTTTGAGTTGACAAGGTGTGATTTGATCTATAATTTTCCTACTGAACTGTAGATATTCTATTGTAATGTTGTTTATACTTGCGTTTTATAAGGCTATTTGTGAAACACTTCGCTATTCTGAATGAAATATTATTTTGATCTTTCTGGGTTTTTTTCAGGATCTGAAGTCATTTGTTAAATAGGTTTGAATAATTATCATTGCTCTTATTTTTTTTTTTTTTCCAGAAAATATACCTATGTGATTGTCTCCCTGCAAATCTGTAACAACTTGACACTTAGTTTGTTACTTGTGGGGTTACAGGAAGCCATTCCCCAATAATACTACATATACTAATTCCAACAATGAATGATTATATAGGTACATTGAATCATAGAATTAACGACGTGAATGTTGATTGATTTATGAAGATTTCTTCAGTACCATCGATGTAATAGAACTGTCCCTTATGTGTAACTGTTCAAAAGTGGTTGTTGAAATACAAGAATTTGGGGGAAATTAATTTTTAATTATCATACCAAAAACATGATTGTGATTCTTAATAATTTATTTATAACTCTGTTTTGATATTTGCATTGACTAAGTGTAAATCATTGTCTTTAGTAATGCTGTTCTTTCTATGTTGTTAGTGTAATCCCAATATATTGTAGCTATTGACATTGTATGTTTGTATCAGACAAAATACACAATGCACAATACATACACAACCTTTTTTTCCCCATGCCGATGGACCTAATCTCATTAAACACAACACTTGTACTTTACCACAATTGATTTGATCGCTCATTCCGATAGTCATACTCATCTCGCTGCATCCTGTACTATTGCCCACAGTTTAGCCCCAACACACAGTATCTAACCCGTAGACGGCAGAGGTGGCCATCCTTCTCAAAAACCTGATACTACCTGATTACAGAACGAGTGGTAGAGCTGAAACCTTCAGATTCTGCTCAAGAAGCAGGAAGGCGGAGGCCCTAGATCTAGTGTCACGGCAGAGGACGACCTTTGCTCATGTCAAGAGCCCTGACAGCACACAGATGTTTGCGTTACTATTTTAAAGGGTAAATGAAATCTCAAACTGAAGACCCATCCTTAGAGTAATTAATAACAGGTAGCCAAGCTTCAAAATATGTCCAGATGAACTTGGAGGGGGAAAAAGGATCAATTTTATCAAACTGGTTATTAAGTTACAGGGAACAAACTCCTGATGGGTGAGAGCTGACATGAGACATTAGCAGACCTGCACCTCGAAAGGTACGCTGTAATTACTGGCAGTTGTATTTTCTTGGTTTGTAGCCCCCTTTTGTTTTGCTGTTGGCAAAAGCACATGTGAGACTTTTTGTATTTGACTGGCTTAATAAATCTATTCTAAGTGTCTATTATTATTTTACCCTCCTTATTCATCTTCATATATTTTTTCCATTTTTTATTGTAGGATAGAAACAACACTGGCAGTGTTTCAAGAGAAGGAATGCACCCTGCACATCAGTGAGTTATTCTTGATGATTTATTTAAAGTAATTCATATAGAGGCAATATAAGCTAACAGGTCCTGTAGTGAGAAGATGACATGATGCTGTGGGATCACAGGGCAGCCCGAATGCACTGAAGAGCTGACCTGAGCCCCAGACTCTGAGGAGGCACCACAGACTTCCTGTTTTCAAGCCTCCTCTTCATTCAACATGCCACCTTCGTCTAGCAGAATCTGTTAACATTACTCTCATTTTACATTCTACCTTTACTCTACTAAGCCAGCACATATCATTACAAGCTTCTCCAAGAGATGGATGATTCTGGATGGATCAGATCTAATTAAATTGGTCCCGGGTGTAGCGTTGGAGCAGGTATTTGCGGATATCGGCTCGGACCGCAGAAACGTTGACGCTTGGGTGCCACCTCATCACAGGCTTCCCCTCTGGGTCCACCAGGAACTTCTCAAAGTTCCACTTGATGTCGCTGATCTTCAGAGGGTCCCAGAACAATCTGTTGGCAGGGTTACCGAAGTCATCTCCAACTGGTGGGCAGGATTTCTGTGTGGCAGAAAGGAATATAACAAGAGCTGTTGATCTGTGAGGACAAAGGACTGAATTTCATTTATGAAAATTTATTTTCATTGGCTCAGAACTATTCAAACGCCAATAACTATTAAGAGCTGTAAGATCTACAATCACACTAAGTAGAGCACATTCCTCCAACGGTCCCCTTAAACTCAAAAAGACTGCACCAAATATCACACACCCATAGATATCACCCATTATGTATAAAAAAAAAAGTTCACAATGTTAAAGAAAGTGAAAGAAAAATTCTGGTTCTGCCCCTGATCTGAATCCATACCAACATTTTGTTGGTTCTTTCCTGACCCATTAAACATCCTCTCAAGTTTTGGGTAGATCTCTCCAGTAGTTTTAGCATAATCCTAACTGTGAGGAGACAGAGGCAGATGAAAACATGAACTACTTAATGAAGGTAAAAACAGGATACACTTCACACTGGGTTTGCCTGTGTGTGTTCAGGGTGTGAACATATTTATTCAATACTGTAAACACAAACTGGGTTAGTGTCAGTTATCCAATCAAAGGTCACAGTAGTCTCTTTCATTCCAATAACTACAAAAGCACCCTGCCTTTGGTGAAAAGATGCTGAGAATCTAGACTGATATTTAATAACAGATCAGAACTCACCTTCAGGAATGTGTAAACCTCTTGCTCGTCTTTTCCGTTCACATCCCCCTTGTCGAACAGCAGGAAGTTTGGCATGAATCCGTTGCCTGGTCTGACATGTCTGGAATCCAGAGAGAGGGCAGCTTATCAGTACACGTGCCTCAGAGCAGTCTGTGGCCTGGCAACTGTCCTACACCCAGTGCAAGCTGAGCAGAGCCCTCGCTATAGATTTAACATGATGGAACCTGAGATTTCAATTCTCTATGTGTGTTTGTGTGAAACAGAGGATGCTAAGAGAAACTGATCTCATTACCAAAGGATGTTATTCCCTGATTAAATGAAGCTTTGTTGATTGACAGAGGATTTACCTGAATTACAAATTCCTCTGTACATTCACCTATGAAGCTTCTTACATCACATTACAATGAGTCGTGTCTTATGAGAAACTTGTGACTGAGATTTAGGCAGTGGTGGAGGATGTACTCAAACATTTAACTGAAGTAAAGTAAAAGTAACTTTTTTACTTGAGTAAGTACTTGCTTTTAAATATACATACTTCAGTATTAAAAGTAAAAGTATGTGTTAAGTTCCCTTGTGCAACTACATCATTAACTTTGCCTATTGTATATTTTATAACAAAAATAATAAGACTGTCAAGGTCATCAAAATGCTGCAGATGATGCTACTAAAAAACATAAGACTGTCATATTATGTAAATATCTGAGATATTTCTGTGGAAAAACATGTATCTTTGACCTGACTGCTGTTCTTTAACTTGATTCTAGAGTGATTTCATTTGGACTGAGCTGATAATAACCAGCACTGAAAAAGTAAATGTTTCTCACTTTAAACCTGGCAGGATCTCATGTTTTTGTCCAGGTTCCTGTTTCCCAAACTGATTGCAGGGAAATCCAAGAACGGTGAGTCCAAATTCTTTCATCTCCTCCTGTAGTGCATTCAGTTCTGACAACAGAAGAAGAAGAAGTAGAAGAAGCAGTGAAGTGTCTTCATGTGAAGAAGCCCCTTTTCATTCATAAAGGAAATAAGGATGCTGGTGGATCAGGTGCAGATTCTTACCCACATACTGAAAGGTGAGACCTCAGTATGTCGCCACGTTGACGAACAGAACGCTCCTGCCGCTGTAGTGGCTGAAGTTTACAGTGTGGCTCCCGTTTAGGGTCTTTGCCTGGTATTTGTAAATGGTGTCATCCATGGATGAGTCACAACGCTGGAGGATTCACACACACACACACGCGCACACACACGTAGTGGACACTCAGTGAGGACACTCATTGCCATCATGCATTACTTACCCTTACCCTAGCCTTGATATAACCTAAAGCTAATTCTAACCCTCTGAAAGTCCTTTGAAAAATGAGGACAGGCCAACATTTCCTCACATTCCCAAAATGAACCTCACAAAGATACAAGTACACACACACAGGTTTGCACTGATGTCCTTGTTAGGACTTTGCATTGACTTCCATTAATTGTGTACAGCCAAACCAAAGCCTTATCCCTAACCATAACCATTTCATACCTAACCTTGTCCCCCTAACCATGATTCACATCTTATTCCTGCACTTTAACCATGACCAGTTCATATCTAACCTAATCCCTAACTGTAACCATGACCACTTCATATCTAACCTAATCCCTAACTGTAACCATGACCACTTCATACCTAATCCCTAAACATGATTCACATTTTACCCTTCACTTGAACCAGGACCTCTGAAATCAATTGTGGCCTCATTCGGGCCAGACTTTGTTTACCATGAGGTCAGTAACACACACACACACAGACACACACAAAGACACACAGACCTTTGCGTATATTATTATTTTCGAATCTGATTTGAGCAAGAATGTAAAATCATGTCTCTAAAAACATTCTCCTCCATGAATCCTCACAGTGCGCAGGTGTGAGTGGAGCATTAGAACACAACAGTGATGTCATCGGATCTCTGGATCCACACTGAACCAATGTGTTGTGAGCGGGAATCAACCATAGGACATCAACAGGTGGACACCTACCTGTGTGAGCGCGGCTCCGGCGGTGTGGGGCCGCAGAAGACCGAGCAGCAGCAGCAGCTGCAGGAAGGGAAACATCGTCCCGGTCCTCCCACGACACGTCGGACGCTCACTGTGGCTGAGTGCCTGCGTCTCCCTGAGGATAAGCTGGCAGGGAGGACGCCCCCAGCTGACGTAAACAGAGCACACAACACAATGAATGGATCGTTGAATGAGTCAGTCAATGAATACATAAAATTGTCCTATTAATAGGTATTAGATGGATGGACAGCTAAGTTAACACCACCTGTCTTCAGCTCCACATCCACTGATGTTTGACATGTTGCATTATCAGAGCTAATTGAAATTCAATTTGATTATCTAGGTATAATTTGAATTTCATTTTCATTCAGCCAATTTGCTTAATTTTGCAACTAAGTGTGTTGGAAACTACATTTTGTAGTCGAAAAGTAACTTTTGTGACTTGAAACCTGTATGACATTTCTACTACTTATTGACTCTCCAAGGGATTATGCTTTATCTTCACTGGAATCGTATGTAAATAAGTTTCCTGTGTATTAATTCATGTCTGAAACTGTGCCTACAGATCCATGTCTGAACTGCCTCAGTCAAACAGCCTTAGTTCTCCTACATAAGATGCTTGCAGTTGACTGTTCTTCATCAACACTCTGAGATCCCTGTCACTCTCTTGTGTTGATCCTTTCTGTAGAAAGCCTCTAATAAAATACACAAAGAGAAATTCGTTAATCCAGCTTCTTGTATTTTCAGATTTCCATCACAGTTTAGAAAACGATCATGGTGTAAGTTGACCTTTTCACTCTTCAAGTAACCTCTTGCAAAAGCTTCCTGGCACAAATAATCAATACATGGGTCTGTGCCACTTGTTCTGTCTTGATGCAGTTCCAGTGTTCACCACATGAGGCTGACATTGAGCAGCCTGGGTTCCCCCAGCAGTCAGTCCCTCAGTGAGAGCTCAGTCTCGCCTGCTCCGCTCCGAGATGGCGTCTCTCCTGCAGCCGGACAAAGTTGTGTATCTGGTCCGTGGAGAGAAACGGATCCGAGCTCCTTTATCTCAACTCTACTTCTGTCGCTACTGCAGTGAGCTGCGGTCTCTGGAGTGTGTGTCTCACGAGGTACGTTCACCCGAGGCTTTAGTCGAGCTAGCTGCTAGCTACTCTGTTGTTAGGCTACCCGGAAGCAGCTTTGACATGTAGGCGGGGTTAGCCCAGCCGTCTCGCGCGTTGTATGGGTACCGTCCTGTCAATCAAGCCAGTCTCCTCGTCTCATTGGCTTAGCAAGCAGCGGGTTTACTTCCGTTAGCGGTCTGCCCATAGCAAGCTAACGCTGGTTAGCCCTTGCTATTCTTCAAACTTAACATCTAACTAACCGGTTAGCTGACATATAGAGGAGATGGTCATTACGTCTGATGAGTGAGAATCATTTTTTTTTATAACTAACAATAGTTATAAAAGCAAAAAGCTGCTTGTTAACGTGGCTCAACGTTATGGACACCACACCCAGACTGAAGAAGAGAATTCCTCCATGGCACTGTCTCATTGATAGTCAGAGTCTTTTCTTCGTAAACATGAGACAGTTCATTCTATAAACCATGAACACACCCTCGTCGTCTTTCTACCTCTCTGTTTTAATACGTGCTGCTGATCTATTTGGGTTGCTGTTATTGACACACTGATATTTCTGGAGATGTGGCTGCACAGTGTGACTCCTCTCTTACACCCATGTTTCTGGTGATCAGGTGGACTCCCACTATTGTCCCAGCTGTCTGGAGAACATGCCCTCTGCAGAGGCTAAGCTTAAAAAGAACAGGTAAGACTGACTATCTTTACTGAGCACTCATCTGCCTGGTGTATTGAATTCACGTCACTGGTACACTTAAATTTCCTCCTGATGATCTCAATTGCAGGTGTGTCAACTGTTTCGACTGCCCATGCTGCATGCACACACTGTCCACCCGGGCCACCAACATCCCGGCTCCTTTGCCTGATGATCCCACCAAGACGGCCATGAAGAAGGCCTACTATCTGGCCTGTGGTTTCTGTCGCTGGACCTCCAGGGATGTGGGAATGGCTGACAAATCAGTTGGTGGGTGCTCGTGTAATGTTCAAATTCAATGTGGTCATAATTATTTTTCAACTTCAGCTCCAGTAGGAACAGAAACCATGAGCAGTGCATATCTTGTGTAGAAGTTTTGTTTTGTAACTCATGAAAAAGTGAAATAAGTTTTGGGTTGCATTAGCATCTTGTAGAGTGCTGCAAGGATGAATTTTTATTTGTAGACGTGACGTTAGCATCACCATGGTTCCCTCAACAAAAAGCCAATGAGATTTTTTCCAATTGCCTGAAGTAAGAAGCTAATATTAGGCTATCACCTAGGGTGCCACAGTCACACATTAAGCTTCCAACTTGTTCTTACCTCTTGTGCATACGTCTTTACTCTTGTGAGTGTGACTATAAAGGCAGAGTAATGTGTGAAATTTAATGTTTGGCATGATGATGTTAATTGTCCCAGACAACCTTTCCAGTCTAATTTATCAGCTTGTTTGCATCAACTGTTTTAATGACAAGTAAAAGCTTAAAAAAACACAAGTGGAGTATTTACTGATGTATTTTGTATCAGAAGAATATGCAAAATGATCTTTAGCTTGTGTTAACCACTTATTTAAGGCATCTAACCTTACTTCCTCAATTCTTTCTTCGATTGAGCACTCATCCCTGCAGCACTCTGTTACTGTCTCAAGTCTGATGTTTTGGTATGTTTTTGTTCACTGCAGCCAGCGGTGGATGGCAGGAACCAGAGAACTCTCATACTCAGCGGGTAAGTTTTCGCCTCTGGCCATTTAAATTCTCTTGCCTTGCTCACATGATTCCTGATCATGCTGACTTTTGCTTTTGAGTAGATGTGAGGAAGGGGTGGATCACTCATGTTTTATAGATTTAAAACAAAATTGTATTTATCTTTTTGTTCTTGCAGATCAACAAGCTGATCGAGTATTACCAACAGCTGGCTCACCGAGAGAAGCAGGAGAGAGACAGGAAGAAGTTGGCCAGGAGACGACAGTGCATGCCACTGGCATTCTCGGTATTCTGCTCCCTCAGGACCCAACTGTTCAAATGTCCCTATCATTGTCCTAACTTTTTTTTAAATGTCAAACAGCTATTTGTCTCATTTTTTTTTATTACGAAATATGTAGGTACTATGAGAAAACAAAGATAAACATTATTCAGGATTGATTTGATTCATATATTCTATTGAAATTGAAGTAATATTATAGAGTAAACTACCATTATGTGTGTATGTGCCATTAGAAATCTTACATCAATATAATGTCCACGCTATGGATCAATATGAACATACTGTTTATATTTTACAGAAAAACAACAAAAAATTGTGAATTGTAAAACTCTACACTTTCAAATTTAGTCGACCTGGTGTGGACATAGTCTTTTGGCTTCTTGAGCTTGTTGGTGCAATTTAACACCTCCTTCCATTCTGCTTTTAAAATAATTAAATGCAAAGCAGTCATTCTTGTGCTTTTTTAGCACCTTTGTAAACACTTAAGCTGCAATGTCATGCTGTTGCTCTCATTCACTGATGCATTTCTGTTGCTGTTGCATGTCACTATTGTACGCTAACTTGCTTTCACCTGGTTCTCTACTCTCTCCTTTTTTCTTTGCTTGTGCACTCTCTGATATTTTGGTTTTACTCCCCAGCAACACACTATTCATGTGGTGGTGAGTTGTATTTTTCACAAGTTTGAGTAGTCAGTAGCACTGTCATCTCTTTATATCTGTTCCTGTCTTAATTTGTTGCGAAGTGACCTCACAGATCACATGAATGTCTCCATGGCTAAATGAGACCGATATCCACACAATGGGAGCCTTCATGTTGGATAGAGGGAGAGAATAAAGAGGAGACTGTAGAGCCAGATCAAAATATTTTATAAGTCCTGAGCCTTAACTCTGTCAGAGCTGATTCTCTCCTACTATCCTCAACAGAAAGGCTTCTGTTATTTTACAATTTTGTTCTCATGTTAAATGCACTCATGTAGAAAAGTAGCTGAAGATTAGGTCAGTTCATAAATTGTCGTCAGTCCGACTTAATTATCAGGAGTCAAAATGGCTAAACCTTTTTTCCCCCTAAATCAGGAAAAATATGGCCTTGGAACCAGACTGCAGAGGCAGAGGTCTGGAGCTCCCATATCAAGCCTGGCAGGCCTTTCGTGAGTGGTCTTTTGTCTTATAATGAGAATTACTGCTGCTTTGACTCCATACATGGAACTTTTTCTCCCCCTTGTAAAACACTGTACAATATCGGTGACTTAGATAAATTGATTTCTTACCTCCCAGCAGCCATTGTTTCATTAATTTCAATGTGCCATGAAAATCAATTTGCAGCCTTGAAACTTGGCTCGAGATACGTAGGTAATCCATCACAGCTAGCAGTTCATCACCCTTATTTTTCTCAAAGCTACATCATCACCTTGTAGTATTTTACTTGTTAGCAGGGATCATTTTTAAACCTCTACACTGGAATGTATTCAAGGACCCTGCTTAACATCTGGAAATGGTATAATTGACTGTGTATTGACAGAGTATGCTGTCAGATCCTGGAGACAAATGTGAAGAGTTTTCTCTGGTTTTGGCGTTCAGTAGTTGAGTCTGATTTCTTGCACGTCTAAGAGTCTTTGAAGGCACCATCAGTGACTTTTCAAAACCCCATCTGCAACTTCAGTGTTTATTTTACAAAGAAATATAATAGATCTGCAGATGTGTTTACTGGGTTACTGACCTTAAGTAGCTTTCAAGTCTTTCCTTTGAAAATATTCAGTTTCAAAATGCTGTAAGACCCCGTACAGACCTGGTATTTGTCCGTCCTGAGCGGTCCGATCACAAGTGGTCAGCACTAAGTTCAGGTCTGAATGCACCAAAATACTTCCTGAATTTCTGAAATGCTTCCTCCGATCACTCCGAACACATTTGGAGGTGGTCTGGGATACATGTGGACACATTATTGTTTCGTGAACGTAATTGCGCCTTAGGCCATATATGGTGAAGTCACTGACCCACCAGAGTTTAAATGTATTTTTAAGCTTCTCAGTGTCCATATGTTGATTTGTTTGAGGGCAGCCCATTGATTTATTTAGTCCCACAATGGCACACACACACA